GGCCCAGCGCCGATCCGAGAAATCTGCGCGGCCCTCCGACAGCCTATACATATATATATATATATGTATATATACACTCGCACACATATATATATATATATATATATATATATATATATATGATACTGGAGACAAGCTCCTATCAGGGCTATAGGGCTAGGGGGCTAGAGGGCTATTGAGCTATAGGGCTATAGAGCTATAGGGATATAGAGTTATAGGGCTATAGGGCCCCCCCGGGCACCCGGCGAAAATCGGCCACAAACCGAACCTGACCATACGAATCCGCTATAGGCCCCCTACAGAGGCCAAAGCTCTGAGATTGGGGAATGCCTATGCGCTGCTTCCTCTTTTCTCCCACGAGTCCAAATCGCAGAAGACGGCCCGCCCAGCGCGCCCAGGCCGCTCGGCGCCGACCTCGGCGCCAGCACCACCGCCCGCGGCACGCTGCGGCGACCGGCCGCCTGACGCGTCGGAGCCGCCGGGCGAGGCCTGGCCCTCGCTGCGGCCCTGCGGGGGCTCCGGGCCCAGCCACGCGAGGCTCGCGGGCAGCCGCTGGGCCGCGGGGGCCCCGGCAGCGCCGGCATCGGAGGAGGAGGAGGAGGAGGAGTCTTCCTGACCTTCCAGGAGGGCTAAACAATAGCACCCGACGTAAAAACCTATCCCAGAGCTATTCTACGTCTTGGTTTTAGGCGGTTTCGCAAAGTTTTTTAGGTTTTTGGGTCTCCCGTGCTAAAAAATAGCTCTCTGGAAGGTCAGGGGCTTCTTGGGCGCTGCCGCCCCGGCTCGGCATGGCAGCCGGCGCCTCTCTCGAGCCGGAGCCTCACGGGCCTGCGCCCCCGCCCACGCCTCGAGGGCGCGCTCTTTCCTCGCGGCCAGGTGTCTGCTCGCTTCGCGCCCAGTGAAGTGCTGTTCCGCGACTCCTGGAGTCTGGGGGAGGAGGAGGCATGACGCCTGCGACAATGATTGCCATTATTCTCTTCTGCCCCCCGGTGCAACCTCCCTACCCTGGTAGAGACGAGAAGGGGCCCCGCTCAAAACGTCTAAGGACACGTGGGTCGACGATCTCGGATCTTCCTGAGGCGCCATGCTGGCTCCCAGGGGCCACCGAAGAACAATACATCTTCGTGGGGCGCATGCTCGCAGGTTGATACTCGTATTTCCTGTGCCCACTGTAGACGAGGATTTCCATGAGTGCTACTCCTGCGGTGGGAGTGAAACTCCTTGAATATGCACATGGGCATCACGCGGGGCAGATGGGGCAAGTTGATGCGCGCGCGCGTTCGGCATTTAGCCCATGATGAGTTGATTGCCGGTGTCTGCCGTAGCCGTTCTCATCACGACTACTATGACTACACCTTTGGCGACCGTCCAGGTGGTGGTGGTGGTCGCAGTCAGTGCCACTATGCAACGATGGTATGACCATGGTCACCACCTTCATGATGATGGATTCCATACTGAGAATCATGATCATCATGGTCGTGGTGGTGATGGCCCCACCCTCACACCTTAGACTCGTAGCGAAGAATCGTTGTGGCGGGAAGGGACTTGATACCATCTTCTAGTATCATCGGAATTGTATTCTCAGATCAGAATGAATCAAGTCCAATCTATAGAAAAGAAAGGGTCACATTTGACCCGCCCCGTCAAGTCCCGTCCCGCGGTTGATCGAGTCCCGGGAGTGTATTTTTTGAGAAAGCTTTACTTCCCCTGATGTATTGATGGGCCGCCGTGGGCGCAAAGTTCGGCGGTGGACAAACCTCCCTTTAGTAAACCACCCTTTAACGAAAACGGCCCAGGACCGATATCGACGGACCTGGACCCGCAAAAATGACGGCCGCGACGCCCTCAATTCGCTAGTCGACGTGTCAACGTAGGTCTATCAAGCTCCGAAAAGTAGAAGCCCGTGGGAGGGCGGTTTCTTTTCAAAGTAAGGTTTCGCTTCATACCTCTTCAATTTCACCAGACTTGTAAACGTGCTCAATCGTTGCACCAATTTGGGTATTTTCGAAAAAGGGTTCGTGCAAATGCAGGAGTAGCGTTTCGTATTGTTGATGCCTCGCTAGAAGGATGAAGGCAGCTCCTTTTCAAAAGAGGACTCTCGCCGCAAGGGCAGGCACGCAAGGTGCTCGTCGTTCCAAAGGGGGTCTCTTTGTGGTGGAGAGGGGAGGCCGCCGTGGGCGCAAAAAAGCAGCCCTGGGAGGCTCACTCTGCACCACTCCGGCCAGAGCCTGGGCCGCTTCACCGTGCGTGAAGCTCGGTCTGGACTGAGAGCCCCGCGCATGCCTGCCGAGAAAATCCGTTCCGGACTGGAAGGTCCCGCATGCCTGCTGCCTGCCCCTCCGCGGCCTGACTCTTCACTGCACCGACCTTGCAGACGCGCTGCAGCGGATCTCGGCGTGGACTTCTGTCGATGCAAAAACCCGAGACGGCGAGCGAAAAACGGAGTGCATTTCGCGTGGATTTTTTTAGACTTCATTCCTGGTAAAAAAAGCCGCACGAAATTCACCTCTAAATCCGGAACGAAATTCTCCAGGACACTCCAGGACCATCCATTCGTTTTCCGAACGAAATCCGCTCTGCGATGTTGGCGCCATGATGACTCTTCCTTCTCCCGCGCACATGGTGCAATTCGCCATTTCGCAACCCGACTCGGCTCTCCTCTGGTGTGCGACCGCCGACGCCGCGAAACAAACATACGTGGGCATGAGTACGCATGTCTCGCTAGGCGGGCGGCTGGGTCGGTTTTTCTAGTAGCGTTTTGTCGGGCGTGTCCCCCTACAGGGGGATTTTTGACGAAAAATAAAAAATACCTCGAAAATACACCGAAAAGGCAAAACAATACTCAAACAATAGTCCCCAGACTATTTTTGGATTATGTTTTGACTATTTTGGGGGTATGCTTTATTTTTCGTTGAACATCTCCCTGTAGGGGGACAGGCCAGACTTAACGCTAAAGGGTTCTTGCAAGGGTAAAAACAATGATCACAGAAGAGTCCCGCGCGGGGGACGGGCAGCCCCGGACCCGCCTGTTCAGGCAGCCGTGCCGCCTGAGACGTCCTCGCAAGTTCAATTGAGGAGCCGTAAGGGAACGAAGAATGACCGAAACGAAAAAACTCTGATTGGGGGCAAACAAACCTCGCTTTTGACCACCCTCGCTTACAAGAGATACCAAGCGATGCCAAACTACGGCCTGTACTGGTCAGGCCGCTTGACGAGGAGGCGCGTGGTATGACTTGGTTTTGCCTGGAAGCGAAAGCGGGGTAGGTAATTCATGATCTGAGATTTCTCGGATCATGCGCTGGAACCCCCTCCCTGGCGCGCGGAGCGCGCCAGGGGCGGCGCCCGAGGCGTAGCCAGGGGGGTCCAGCGCGGATCCGAGAAACCCGCGCGGACCTCCGAGTTGTTGTTCATGTCATTGTTTGAAGGGCAACGATGGGGGGGATAGGCATAGGGGGGAAACATCGAAATGGAATCGGCGATACATCGCCGATAGATCGGCGATAGGCCCCCGATAGTGAATCCGCACCTTCCTGTGCCAGTTGGGGCTATCGGGCCCCTATCGGCGATCAGTGGGCCATTGGGGGGTCGATGCATCCCTCCCGCGCCTATCCCCCCCCCATCGTTGCCCCCGAATTGTTCGTTCCCCTCAGGCCTGAGACTCCCTCGCGAACTCATCGAGGAGTCGTGCCTTCGCCCCTCCGTGTCGGCCACAGTCTTGGCCCAGGCGGCCACGATCCCTGGCAGAAGATGCGCTGCGGTGCACGTGGCTGCGCTCTCGCCCCTGCTCCGGCGGCGTCCCTCCCAGGAGCCCCTGGTACTACCCAGGATCGCACGCCCTCACTGGCCGTCGTCGTCGTCGTCGTCGTCGTCGTCGTCGTCGTCGTCGTCGTCGTCGTCGTCGTCGCCCGTCGTCGTCGTCGTCGTCGTCGTCGTCGTCGTCGTCGTCGTCCGTCGTCGTCGTCGTCGTCGTCGTCGTCGTCGTCGTCCTCGTCGTCGTCGTCGTCCGTTTCTGGTCGGGCATGTCCTCCGACTCGACACCAGCCGACCTCCCGCTCCTCGACCCGCCCCTCCTCACCTCCGCTGCCGCGGCCAAACACTGGCAGCGAGGCTGCGCGACGAGGACGCGCGAGCCCCCTGGGCGCCCACGTCGAGGCCTTTCGAACGGGGCTGGCCATCGAACGCGGTCAAGGCTGGACCGACACGGCAAGGATGTAAGGGCACCCTCGGGAAGGCTACCATTAGGTCGGGCGTGTCATCCTACGTGGGGGTTTTGGATAGAACATAAAGAATATGCAAAACTGCTCAAAGATGACCCACAAATCTAGAAAAGTCGTCCTCAGACTAGTTTTGGACTATTTCTGAATCTTCTTCCTGTAGAGAGGGACGTGCCCGACTTCAGGCAAGGATGTAGGGCACCCTTGGGTAGGCTACCCATCCTGGCCATCGGCTTCGACTGTACCACGGGCGCTCTGCTGGGCATCCTCTTGGCATGCGCGGCGCTCGCGCGGGCAGCAGCCCGGACGCCTCGGCACCGACTAGGCAGAGCCTAGGTAGGGAATTCGCCGGCCCAACGGGCCAGGGCGTGCTAAGATCTCCGGTACCTGGTTAACAGTATTTCTAGTTCGCGCGCGCGGGGCGGCCCCTGGGGGTCCCCGGACGAAAAGTACTCCGGCAAGGTCCCGGCAAGGTCGGGCCAGAGATGCCGGAGCCCTGTTACAGGGCCCCAGGACGGGCCAAGAGGTCCCCAAGAAGCCTCCAAGACGGTCCAAGAGGGCCCCGAGACGGCCAAAGATCGCCCGAAGACGCCCAACAGGGCCCCAAGACAGCCCAAGAGGCCTCCAAGACGCCCCAAGGGCCTTCCAAGAGGCCTCCGAAGAGGGCCCCAAGAGGCCAAAATCGTTGATTTTCATTGTTTTTTTCGATGTTTTTTGCGTTCTGGCTTTTTCGGCTTCCGGACGCTCCAAGACGGCCCAAGAGGCCCCCAAGACCGCTCCAAGACGGCCCACGAGGCTCCCAAGACGGCCCCGGAACGGCCCAGGAGGGCCCCCAAGACGGCCCAAGTGCCGCCCAAGACGGACCAAGAGGCCCCAAGACGGGCCCAAGAGGGGCTCAAGAGGGGAACCGAGAACTGAAAAATCGAGCCCTCCGCCCCAGAAGGCGCCCAGGAGGCCCCAAAAAGGCCCCAAGAGGCCCCCAAGAGGCCCCCAAGACGCCCCAAGAGGCGCCCAAGAGGCCCAAAAGAGGCCCCAAGAGGCCCCAAAACGGCCCCCAAGAGGCCCAAAACTCGGCTAGCCCACAACGGTGCGACAATAGGCCCGCTAGAAGACAAAGAAGAATAGAATGAGGAAGCGATTAAATAGGAGGAGGATGAGGAGGAGGAGGAGGAGGAGGAGGAGGAGGAGGAGGAGGAGGAGGAGGACGAGGAGGAGGAGGAGGACGAGGAGGAGGAGGACGAGGAGGAGGAGGAGGAGGAGGAGGAGGAGGAGGAGGAGGAGGAGGAGGGGAAGGGAGGGCGGCCAGGGCGCGGAAGGGAGGGCGGCCGGGGCGCGAATTCGCGCGCGCGCGCCGGGCGGCCCGCCGCCGCGGGCGCCTCGCGCGGCGGAGGGTCTCTCCCGGAGGCCCTCGCCCGAGGGGCAGCGATCAGGGGGGGGGCGGGCTCGGGGGGAGGCAACGTCGACCCGGGTGGGGCGCGAGCCGGTGGGGGGGGGGAGTCCCCTGACCTTCCAGGAGGGCTACTCAGGCTGCTTCGCTCAGCTTTGCAGGTTTTCAGGTCCCCAGTGCTAAATTATCCCGGCAAAGCAACCTAACAGCGATGTGTAGGAGCATATCTGGAAGCATTCCCCTTAAGATTCAGATGAGAATCCAGTTGTAGAATTGTGCTGTTCTCGCAGTCGTAGTCGCATTCGCGATGACAGTCGCAGTGGCAACGGCAGTCACAGACACAGCCTCAGCCTCAGCCTGCCTCAGCCTCAGCCTCAGCCTGCCTCAGCCTCAGCCTGCCTCAGCCTCAGCCTCAGCCTGCTTCAGCCTCAGCCTCAGTCTGCCTTCAGCCTCGGCGTCAGCCTCAGGCTGCCTCAGCCTCAGCCTGCATCAGCCTCAGCCTCAGCCTCAGCCTGCCTCAGCATCAGCCTGCCTCAGCCTCAGCCTCAGCCTGCCTCAGCATTCAAAATGTGGCCCGGGAATGTAGTTCTGGGAACTCGAAGAACACGAAGTGGCCTACAGTTGGCTCCGGGCATTCAAATTCATGCCCTACAGTTGGCTCCGGGCATCCAAAATCTGGCCCGGGAATGGCCTACAGTTGGCTCCGGGCATTCAAATTCATGCCCAGGAATGGAGTTCTGGGAACTCGAAGACCACGAAGTGGCCTACAGTTGGCTCCGGGCATCCAAAATCTGGCCCGGGAATGGAGTTCTGGGAACTCGAAGACCACGAAGTGGCCTACAGTTGGCTCCGGGCATCCAAAATGTGGCCCGGGAATGGAGTTCTGGGAACTCGAAGACCACGAAGTGGCCTACAGTTGGCTCCGGGCATTCAAAATGTGGCCCGGGAATGGAGTTCTGGGAACTCGAAGAGCACGAAGTGGCCTACAGTTGGCTCCGGGCATTCAAAATGTGGCCCGGGAATGGCGTTCTGGGAGGTCAAGAGCACCAAGTGTGTGACTGTTGCATCCGGTTATTCAGAATGTGGCCTGGGAATGGGGTTCTGAGAGGTCGACGAGCACGAAGTGTGTGACTGTTGGTGAAAAACGAGCCCGGCACAGGCCCGGCACCCTGCCGGCCGGCAACTCCCAACGCCTGCCCGGACCCCCCTGTGGAGTGATCTGTGAGCTCTTTTGAGTCAACTAGAAACCTATCAGTCTACGCTGTTAGGTAAAAATGGCTCTCTGGAAGGTCTGGGTCAGCGGGCGGAAGAAGCGAGGTGCCCTCCGCCGGGGCCCCCAAGCGGGCCCCTGGGGGGGCCTCGCTTCTGCAGCCCTCGCTGCCCCCCGACATCGATCGCCCCCCCCCTCTCACGCGCGCCCCCCTGGACTGTGAGCGGCGACGCATGGCCGAGAGAGCGGCGACGGGCCCCCGATGGCGAATCCCGAGGTTTTCCTGGGCGGGGGGGGGGATATCGGGCCCCCATCGACGATGGAAGGGGCGATTTGGGTCTCGATGCACCCCTCTCCCTGAGCCCATCCCCCCCCCCCCCTCACGTGGCCCCCATCGACGACTGGCCATCGCTCGGACGTCCATTCTCTGTGCTTTTTTCGGTTTCGTGCGTGGCTTTTTCGCCAAATGATCAAGGATGCTCCTCGATGGCCCTCGCCCAAGGAAAAATACACACGCCCGAGCGATGCCAAGACATTGGGCCCCCATCGACGATGGAAGGGGCGATTTGGGTCTCGATGCACCCCTCTCCCCGAGCCCATCGCCCCCCCCCACGCTGCCCCTGATCGCCTACTGGATGTTCGTCCGGATGCAGGCCGAAGCTAATGATCCGATGGCAGAGGAAGAGAAAGCACGGCACAGACATCAACCTTCGGAGCTCCGCACTGGAGTTCTTGGAGGCAGTTTTTCCTTCCAATAATGGCGAGATCAACCCGCTGCTTGGATAGGCGGGGGCGTGGCGAGGCCCGAAAGAAACTCTGGACTTCACGCAAGTCGGGACACACCTGCACGCGTTCGCGGCCCAGCGCTGTCTGAGATGACGGAGGGGGGGATACAGTGCAGGTGAACTTGGCAGAATCTGAACGAAAACAAGCTCTTGGATCTCTGCTGGACCCCCTCCCTGGTGCGCGGAGCGCGCCAAGGGCGGCGGCAGAGGCGCCGCCGGGGGGGCTCAACGTCGATCCGGGAAATCCGCGCGGAGCTGCGAAGGTTTCTGCTCGTGCAGTCGCCTCTTCCTCGGGATGTGCTTCCTCGCGTTCTGCAGGGCCTCTGAGGGGCAACGTCAGGGGGGAGGGGATGGGCTCCAGGGCGGAAACATCGAGCTGGAATCAGCGATACCCCGCCGAGAGGGGCTTGATGGCCCATCCCGCTCAGGAAGGTGCGACTTCGCAACCAGAGGGCCTACATCGCCGATCCCTCGGCGAGGCATCGCCGATTCCAGCTCGGTGCCTCCCCCCCGAGCCTCCCCCCCCCCCATCCCCTGACCTTCCAGGAGGGCTAAAAAATTGCACCCGACGTAAAAACATATCCCATTGCTATTCGACTTCTTGGTTTTGGGCTGTTTCGCTAAGCTTTTTAGGTTTTTAGGTCCCCAGTGCTGAAAAATAGCTCTCTGGAAGGTCTGGGTCGTTGCCCCCGAGCCTCGAGCGTGACGATCAGCCGCACTCGCGGGTCCGCCCAGAGGGCCTGCGGGGCGCGGGCCGTGACGACGACCCGCTGCCCCGCCCGCGGCGTGGCGCCCAGCGCCACCGCAGCATCCGGCGCGCCGGCGGCCGCGGGCTCCTGAGCCGGACCAGTCAGCACCAGATCGGGAACTCGGATCGAAGGGCGCATGGAGTGAAGGTTATGTCGGGCGCGTCCCCCTACAGGGGGATTTTCGACGAAAAATGAAAAAATACCCCCGAAAAAACCCAAAAAGGTAAAACACAAATACTCAAAACAAAAGTCCCCAGACTATATTACTATTTGTTTTTTTGAATATTTTAGGGGTATTTTTTTTATGTTTTGTCGAAAATCCCCCTGTAGGGGGACAGGCCCGACTGAAAGTTAAGGGAGGGCGGAGCTGCACAGTGGCACAGAGACTTTCGACGGTCCGCGCAGGCCCTCGGATCTGCGCCGGACCCCCGTGGCGGCGCCTCCAGCGCCGCCCCCTGGCGTGCTCCGCGCGCCGGGGAGGGGGGGCCAGCGCAGATCCAACAAGTCCACGCGGACCGTCGAAAGTTTATGAGTGTGCCGCACCTTTTCTTCTTCTCCTTCTTCTTCTTTCTTCTTCTTCTTCTTCGATTGAACCGAGTCGGGAAGGGGGCGGGGCTTCTCAGGAGGCTCGGGAAGCCTCTGGCCGTCTACGAGATGATCGACGCCTCCCCCTCCGAAGGCACACAGGCGGCTTCCCAGAAGGCCGGGGAGAGCTCTTCTGGGAAGCACCGCCGCCTGCTGAGCAGGCCTGCCCCCTCTCACTCTGCGCCCGGGCGCGCCGCCGAGCCATGTGCATCCTGCATTGAATCGAACCCCGCCCCCCCCCCCGCGGGTCTGCAAAGATGTCACGTCACAACGGGAGGTTCGTGGCAAACTTCGGCCTCTGGGGGCCCTTGCCGGGCCCAAGGCTCGTGCAAGAAGGACCCAGCGGGGATCTGCTGACCTGGGCCAGTCCTCCAGACCCTGGGTCAGTCGGGCTTTGCCAGATCCTGCAAAGTCCTGCAAGATCCTGTAGGATCCTGCACCCAAGCCGGGGTCAATGCAACCCTGGCTCTGCAGGATCCTGCAGGATCCGGCGCAGTGAGTGACCCCCGTTTGCAGTGGCCCCCGTCGCTTGAGCCCCGACCCCAAGGTGAGACGCTCGTCCCGGGAAAACGGTCCAGACCTCCGCTGGTCCAGCCTGCGACAAAACATCACAACGTCTGGGAGAGGGATGCGGGATCAGGGCTAGAGGGGGCAATATTCTCAACATCGAATCGGGAAATCGGATCGAATCGATCCGTGCATCGGATCCAATAGCATCGGCAAGGAGTCGGAATCGGATCGGATCGGCCGCACCAGGATGCACAACAGGGCCATACAGGCATCGGGTCGAATCGGATCGTCGAAACATCGATATCGAATCGGATCGGGCCACCCGAAACCGATGCCGAATCGGATCGATCGGATCGAAATCGGCTGGGTCCTGCGCGGCGTGAGCCGATGGGGGCGACGACAGCGTACAGCGGCCGTCCACGTGGGTGACGATCCAGCCGAGGTGCCGTTCGGACATGCCGGCCTGCGCCGCGGGGCTGGAGGCGGCCACCTCGCTGATCGCGCGCCCACTCGTGAGCCGGAAGCCGAAGCCGAGGTCCTCGCCGCTGCCGCCGCAGCCGATGGCGAAGGCCGCCTTGCTCGGGTTGGCAGAGGCGTCCGGCTGCAAGAACGCCGCGCCCGCGCTCTGCTTGGCCTGCTCGAAGAGCGTGGCCATGCCCGCGAGCTCGTGGAGGTGCACGATGCCCTCGATCTCGGCGGGCTCCCGGTCCTGGGGGGCCCTTGGTTCTCCGGGCCTCTCCTGCGGTGCGTTTCTGGCCAGGAGGTCGAGGCGAGTCCAGCCGTGGCGATGATGGGGCGCACAGAGACATGCTGATACTGTGAGTCCTCCTTGGAGGCGCGCGTCCGACCCGAACCTATAGTATACCCATCTTGCAGTATAATCGCTTCCCGAGCGATGTGGCCAGACAGCGACTGCCACGACGCATATATATATATATATATATATATATACTGTGAGATTTCTGGGTGCGCGCGTCGCCCCTGTGGGGGGCGAAGAGCATACAGTTCTGAAGGGGCCTTGACCTAAGGAACCCTAAATGAGGAGCGAGGCCTCTCTTTTTCCATACGCTGAACTTCGACTTCCGATCGAAAACGCAAGGAGAACCTGAGGCAAGCTGCGAAACACTTAAGGAACGCGGAGCCCGCCCCCAACGAAAAGGGTTCCTTCTTCAGGGCCCCGACGGTATGAGTGGGTCGGGGCGACGCCGAGGCGAGGGCCTCCTGGGAGACCCCGGGAAGGCAGAGGCCAGGCGGGGCCGAGGCAGGGGCACCAGCAAACGGGAAACGCACGCGGCTGGACTCGCATGCCTGAAATCAAGTCGGGCGTGTCCCCCTGCAGGGGGATTTTGGACGAACAATGAACATACCCCCAAAAATATTCAAAAACACGCAACAATAAAAGAAGAGTCGCCCCCAGACTATTTCTCACTATTTTTGAAGATTCCTCCTGTAGAGGGACACGCCCGACTTCAGCCTAACACGTGGATGCCACTTGCTGGACGCGCATGCGGGAGACCAGCGTTGTTGGGGAAAGCAAGAGGTATCGACACTGCTACTCTCCCCAGACCTCTCCGATGGGTGCGTTCTGGCCAGGATTTCGAGGCGGATCCAGCCATGGCGACGAGGGCCTCTCAGGAGTCCCAAAAAGGCGAAAACGATGCAACGGCAATGTCCTTTTCCTCCTCCGAGGTCCTGGACGACGTCCTCGGTGCCATGGTGCAGAAGAACGTCCAACGCTCGCCGAGTAAGGCCTAGAACGCACATGAAGTCGAGCCGGAGCTCCGCCATCAGTGGCAGGCTGCGCAAGAAACCTTCTAGGCTGCCCCATTGTTTGAAGACGAGCTCGTCGCCCGGAGCAATCTGGCAACACATGCAGATCATCTCGTAGTCGCTGACGACAAGTTTCATCGACTCGATGGCGCTCTCGTACAACTCATGTTTGAATGGTGTCCTGGGCCCAGGCACCACCGCCAAATTAGGGTTCACCATATGCCGGAACTTGTCCGCAGGGCCAATGCACGACTTCATCGTGCTCAAATGTGCCAAATGCGAGTGCACACCGCTGGAACCCCCATCTGGGCTTGGACTCTCACGCGACTCCGCGTCGCCCCCAGAGAAGTACGCACGGAAGCCATCCTGGATCGCTTCGCCCAAGTGATGCGTGTGGGCGATCGCAGTTTCGCGGGTGTTCCTGGACTTCATGATGCTGTCCACAACGATCTGGATCACGATGGCGAAGGTCATCTGTGCAACTTGCTCGTACCCCGCCGCAAGCTCGCTCTCGGAAGTAGTGCCGCGTGTGTGTCGGCAGGGCACGAAGAGGGATGTGCAACCAAATGCCGCGGCACTCAGGCCGACGTGGTGCCACTGGTACGATGCGAAGTGTACGTAATCGAACATGAACAGATACAAGAATATCGATACGGGTTGCAACACCGCTCTTACGTTGGAGGTGCAGTTATACAGATTGATCACCGCCATGATTAATATTGGAAACACGTTGCCGAGCGACACGCCGATCAGCCGCTTCGCGTTCACGTCGAATGTTGTGCCCGCATGGCCTGTGTGACGGCTTATCAACAATGTCAACGTGGAGGCCATCGTTACGTTGTGACCATGGTGGAACACTGAGCCGTGGAGGTAGAAACCCAATCCGCCACCGTGCCTTCACCGAGCTGTGAGTGTTTGAAAGATTGTGGCTCCGAGGCCCCCGCCTGTCGCGCGAGCCTTCCAGAAGCTATCATCCCACCGATAACGACTCCAAGATGCCCCAAGAGCCTTCAGAGAAGCCCACTGAAAGAGGCTCATAATGTCTCCTGCACAAGCTCCATATCGCTCCAAGAGGACGCCCTAGACAACCAAACGACCTCATCGAATACTACCACGTGTTGACTGGTTTCTCCTGTTTGGCTTATTGGCCCAACATGGCTTCAAGATGGTGCCAAAGAACTCCGTGACTGCCCGGAACGGCCCAAGGGGGTCCCAATCATCTCCCAAAGCGGTTTGAGAACGCGCCTGCGGGAGCACAACATCGCCCATGACGGCTCCAAGACGGTGCCAATACAACCCAAGAGAGTCCCTGAAGTCTCCCAGACGTGTCCCCACGAGCGAGCCTAAGAGGCCTCCAACAGCCCTCTTGTCCACGAGCCAGCTACGGTGGCGTGATGGGCCGCAGGCCACTAAATATGTAGCATAAAGAGATTGACAAGGTGTTTCGAATCGCGAAGTTCCGGTGCTCAACCTCGCCCAAACACGACCAAGCATTGATAAACGGCCCGCACAAATACCTGGAGCAGCTCTCACGCTGGCGCGGTGTCTTGTCAGCGAGGTGTTTCTCCGCAAATTCGCTGACCCGCCAAGCGAACACCGACAAGGAGTATATAAAGATGATGCAGTTGTTGAATGCCGTATCGGCGTGGGCGGCGATGTCGCCGATCGCAGCAAGCTTCTCCTCAAACATCAGCAGCAGTGCCACCTGGCAATGCTTGATCCTAGCCACGCCCTGCAACAACTGCTCGCGCTCATCGTCGTCGATGACTCCGTCCTCGCAGAAATGGGCGCTGTCGTGCAGCATCTCCATTGCCTCCCGCTTGAGGTCTGCCGCCGCCATCGTCATCCTCCTGTCCATGAAGCTCCTGTGGTCCTGGTCGAACTGGGCCTCAATTATGCAGCCTTTCATCGCGTAGAGCACCTGGTTGATCCGCCGACCCCTTTGGGGTCGCCAAGCGTGGAGATTCTCCCCTCCCTGTTCGTGCCATCGCTCGGACGCCCGTTCCTCGTGCACTTTTCGGCTGCGTGCGTGCACGTTGTTGCCAGATGATCCAGGGTGCTCCTCGACGGTCCTCGCCGAAGGAAAACGCACACGCCCGAGCGAGGCCAAGATTTTGGGGGCGCCACGCGTGGGAGATTCTCCCCTCCCTGTTCCGGCGGTGGGCCCATGAGGGAAGGCCTGCCCCCTCTTGCTTTTCCCCTGGGCTCGCCGCCGACTAAGGCCCAGATGACGATGACGACGACGATGATCTTCGTCATCGTCATCGTCATCGCCTCCACCAGGCCCGAACCTGCAGATCTGAGGGGGCCAGCGCGCAATGTCTCTGCAGGTTCCAGGCCCTCGCCTCTCTTGGCGCCGCCCTTCCTCTCGGAGGGGCTCGGGGGGACCAATCACGAGCAGCCCGAAGGGACCGACGGATGTGGCGCACGTCTCAGCAATCTTGTCGAATGCAACGTCCACCGCAGCCCTACCTCCAAAATGGGCCAAAAACGGACGGAACGCTTGTCTGGCCGTGTCCCTCGCAAAGCGGTGTGCATCTTTTCGAATTCAATGTCCAACGCCTTGTACAACGCGCGCTTGTTCTTGAACCGGAAAAGGTCCAACGTCTCCCACCAAGATGCCTCAAGGTCGCCCTCGTTCTTCTGGATGGTGCATGACACCTCTAAGAGGGATGAGGAAGGTTGAGGAAGGAGGAGGAAAAGATGGAGGAGGAAGGAATGGAGGAGGGGGGAAGGACGGAGGAGCGGAGGATGAGGAACGACAAATGATGGTAAGAAAGGAGGGGCAATCACGAGAAACGCGCGTCGAGAGAACCAGGGAACCGCACACTCTCTGACAATACTCAGGCGACGGGGTCGTGGACAGAGGAACCTACGACCCTGCCAGAATGCAGCCTGCAGGCCAAGTGCTCGGCGCGCCCCTGCACAGAACCTCGGTGCGGTCGCTCACCTCTGGCCGGGCTTCCCGGCCTGGCCGAGCGACCGAAGGCTCGGGCTGGCATCTGCCAGCGGCGGCAACGCGGGCGGCGCGACCGAGTCTCCACCGGCTGGCGGGGCGGCGCGCACGTTGGGCCCGATGCGTATGCATATTGCCAGCCAGCCGCCCTCTGCGAAGGCACGAATGACGTGCAAGGCCGCGTCGTGCTCGGAGCATGCCGCCTCGGACGAGGGGCTGACGGCCCGCACCTGCTGCACATCTGCGCGGGGACAGCCCTGCATGCAGCGCCCGCGACGGCAAGATCGCAAGGCCGACAAACACACCCACTTCAAGTAGGCAGCCGTGTTCGCCTGCCTCCGGCAGCAACGGGGCATGCCGTCGCTCCAAACTGGAGCACTGCCGACATCGTGCTCGGTGACGCGGGGCCCTGGGAGCTGGAGCGACACGGGGAGCCCGGGGGACCTCGCACGATGTCGGACTCGCGAAAGCCGAACATGCTTTCGTGGGCCGCGCGTCATCTCGAGCGCGCCGAGCTTGGCCAAGACATCGGCCCACTCATTGCCACTCGCATCGGCCGCCGCCACTCCGTAGTCCAAGGGCTCGTGGGCCTCTCTTGCACAAGAACGTCGCGCGCGTGGCGCGGCCACGACACAGACCGTGCATCCGGCGCGGGGTAGAAGATCGGGAAACTCGCGCAGCTCGCCATCGCTCGGACGTCCATTCTCTGTTTTTTTTGGTTTCGTGCGTGTTTTTTTCGCCAAATGATCAAGGATGCTCCTCGATGGTCCTCGCCGAAGGAAAAATGTACACGTCCGAGCGATGCCAAGGTGACAGAAGCCGTGGGCCGCCGTGCCCTCTCGAGACCCCGGGGCGCAGCAGCTCTCTAAGCGCGATGGGGCGGCCCGGTTTGGCCACACGACGGCTCCCAAGATGGCCCTGCAAGGCCAGTGGCGGCACTGACTACCTACCAGACAACCCCAACCCAACCCGAAGACTCGAATTTCGGGTTGGGGGGGGGGGTACGGGTTCCATATGTGTTTTTTCAATGTTCCCCGACCCCCCCCCACTGGAGATGGAGGGCAAATTGAGGCCTTCGGGTTGGGTTGGGGTGGTTTGGTGGGTGGCGGCACGGCAACGCCGCGCAGGCCCGCCCGAGGCGGTGGGGAAGGCCGGATTCGCCCCAGAGTGCTGACCAGAACGCGCCCGAGAGGGGGGGGCAGGCCTCGCGGAGGGCGGGCGGGGCTCCTCGGGGGGGCCCTCGTGGCCATTCCGAGAGGCGGCCTGCGTCGTCGGAGAAGGCCCGAAGACTTCTCGCATGGCCGGGGGCCTCCCAGTCGGGGGCGCGCAGGTGTGGGATTAGCGATCCGTGGATTTGGGGCGCGGTCGACACATCCATGGATCGGGGGGAGGCGCCCTCCCCCAGATGCGGCCGGCGCTGCCCTGCTTCGGCGGCGGAAATCCGCGATGTCCCGCGGAACTGGGACCCGTCGCTAATCCACGCCCCCTTGATCCATGTTTGCGATCGCCTGACCTACCCCCCTACCTCCTCCTCCTCCTCCCCCTCCTCCTCCTCCTCCCCCTCCTCCCTCCCCCCAGGGCGCGCCGCCGACTGCAGTAGACTCCAACGGCCAGCTCGGGCCCGGAGCAGGACTTGCCCACGCCGCATTGTCAACCAACAGTTGCCTTGATACGGATGCCTACGTGCTCTGCAGCCACTGCACACTCTGCCCACTGCGATGCCACACTGGCGCCACCTCGGCAGAATCCCTGCAAGAAAGGGCGGTGTAAATGGGGAAAACTGCCCAACACACAACACGCTGATGCGACACAGTAATCATCTTCCGTGGATCCACGGCATGCGCTTTCTGCCTAAGGGACACACAACAGTTTGAGCCAAAATGGCTACGAAGGGAGGAACGAGAGATGAAGAGAAGGGCGGAGCGAGAAGAAGGGGAGGAAAGAAGGATGATGGCGACAGATGCAGAACGCCTGCATTATCTTGGCCTCAATCTGATAGCGCTTCGCGCTCGGGCTCCTGCCACCGAAGTAGACGATGGCGTCCTCCCAGATGTTCTCGATGGCGTTGATCACGTTCTGGGCGTCGTCGTCTATCCTTCAGAGGTCGAGACGAGCACGTGAAGGGAAACGGAAACTCCGGACTTCTGTTGGCGGCAGAATTCCCACCAACACAAGAACAGACCTCGAAGTCGAGGGGCTGTTTGGCTCGCAGCTTGGCCTGAAAATCTCAGGGGAGCCTGGAAATACGAAAATGCAGGAACCCCAAAACTCCGAACACTGGAACCCTTGCCCCTAATTGGAAGACAGGTTTGGGCAGGCACACGCGCGTGCGCCACATGCACACACACTCACACACACACACAGGCGCGAGCCATGTATGCTGCACGCGCATGAGTGCACGCACACGTATACCCGACGCGGAAGGAGGGCAGGAGAGGCAAGGGCATGAGAGAGGGGGCAGGACAAGCTAGGTCCACTCGCGTCATATCTGACGTCCTACCCCCCCTCCCATCCCTTACCATGGCGTAGATATTCTCTCTCTATTCGCACAGTCGCATGGCATAGCATTATATGTCATAACATGGTGTTGTAGATCAACGCGTAAAAGCTAGGCAGCTAGGCGCGCTGGCGCCATACACGACATCCTACTCCTCCCACCCATCCCTTCCCGTTGTGCTGACTCTAGTCTACCCGCCGAAGGGTTTCTTGGCGGACTTGTGCCCCCCAACCGACTCATCGTCCTATACGCAGTCAGAGAAGGGGGAGCTGTGTTACACGGAGGAGGAAGAGGGGATGGCGGATTAGGGGAAGGATGAGGAAGGAGGGCGACGAGGAACAGCAGCAGCAGCAGCAGCAGCGGCAGCAGCAGCAGCAGCAGCAGGAAGGAGAGAGGGGGGGAGGGGACACGGGGGAAAGAGGAAGGGGCGGGGTAGGGGGAGAGGGCAGCGGGGCATCAGACGACGACAAGAGAAGAGGAGGATAATGAGGAGGACGATGATGATGATGATGATGAGGAGGAGGAGAAGGAGGAGGAGGAGGAGGCGAAGGATGAGAAAGAGGAGGAGGAGGAGGAGGAGGAGGAGGAGGGGAAGATGGGGAGGAGGAGAAGGAGGAGGAAGAGGAGGGGGAAAAGGAGAAGGAAAAGGGCGAGACGGAGGGGAGCCGGGACCACGCCCAGTTTTCTTTGTTTGCACGGAACACGCGCAACCATGCCCTGACCGATGCGCGAAGCGCGCCAATGGGGGGGAACGTCGGGGGGGACTGTCTCGGGGAGGGGAACCCCGATCTGAAATCGGCGATACATCGCCGACGGACTGGAAGGCCCCCGATAGGGACTCCGCACGGTCCTGAGCGTGGTGGACTATCGGGCCCCCATATCGGCGAGGAATGGGCAATTGGAGATTGGAGGTCGTTGCGCCCTCTCTAAGCCTTCACACCCCCTAATGTTGCCTCGTCTACACGCAAGAGAGGCCCTAGGCAAGAGCGGCCTCGGTGCGCGTCTTCGGGGGGCCGCGGGGGGGCTAAACCCACGCGCGCAAGGCGCTGCCATCGCATAGCGTGCGTCGATCGGGAGATCCCAATGGGCCAGCACAAAGGTCTCTCCAACGAAAGGCCACTCTTTGATTGGTGATCTTCTGACCCGGGTCAATCCAGACCCGGGTCAGCAGGAAACCAACAAAAACTGCAATGCAGGAAAAGAAACTGGAATTTAGGTCTTCGCAAACCCGGGTCAGCCAATATGCGCGGCCGCCACAAAGCCACGAGCGGCTCGCTAACGCGGGTCAGCCAGAGGGGGTCGTTGCAGGATCCTGCAAGATCTGGTGCCCTGGCTGACCCCCGTTTGCATTGACCCCCGTCTCTTGAGCCCCGATTTGAGCAGGGACCGACCGTCCCGGCATTCCTGTAGGCCTACCACGACATGTTCTTGGAAGCCCAACATGTTCTAAGAACAAAGACGATGCTCTTAGAACATAAGCCCGATTTGTCAAAAAAACACCGTCGACTAGCCAGAAATATTCAGAGAACACTTCGTGCAGACCACGAGAGGTCATCATGACATTCTCTGGTAGGCCTACAGGCGAGCCAGGACGCGTCGCCGCTGCTTGAACCCTTACGTGTCATTCGGCGGTGGACAAACCTCCCTTTAGTCAACCTCGCCTCAATGAAAACGGCCTGGGATCGAAACCGACGGCCCCGGACCCGCAGAATGACGGCCGCGACGCCCTCTCGCGAACCGAAAACAGCCCATTCCCTCATCGACGTGTCAGGGCAGGAGGCCTGTTCACCCCCGAATCAGGGGGCCGCGTGGAGGGGCCGCTTCCTCGCGCGCCGGGCGCTGCAAGGGAAACCCTCGCGAAGGTCACTCTCGCAGGAGGAGGAGGAGGAGGAGGAGGAGGAGGAGGAGGAGGAGGAGGAGGAGGAGGAGGAGGAGGAGAGGAGGAGGAGGAGGAGGAGGAGGAGGAGGAGGAGGAGGAGGAGGAGGAGGAGAGGGTAGTAGTAGTAGTAGTAGGGAGGAGGAGGAGGAGGAGGAGGAGGAGGAGGAGGAGGAGGTAGTAGGAGGAGGAGGAGGAGGAGGAGGAGGAGGAGGAGGAGGAGGAGGAGGAGGAGGAGGAGGAGGTAGTAGGAGGTAGGAGGTCTGACGTGCCATCGATTGCCTCCCCGAACGGCAGGCGCGGGCCCCGATGGGGGGCCGGGCGCAGGCGGCAGTCTGCTGCCCGCGGGCCTCCGTCCCTCCGAGGGAGCCCCCGCCCGCCGTGCGGCCCCGGCGCCCGGTCGGTGCAGCCAGGCTCCCGGGCCTTCCACGGAGAGGGCGCCAGCCGATGATGTTCATGAAGGAGCCCCAGGACGCACCAAGAAATACACGCAAATGCCAGGATTCCCCATATCTTCCCATATTTCCTGGGCTCCTGGCTTCCCCCCCACTTCCCATAGTTTCGCATATTTTCTTGAACATCGACGATTAATTGTGTCTGTGTTTTTTTCCCTCCTGAGTTTAGGTCGGGCACGTCCCCCGGCAGGCGGTGTTTGGACGAAGAACGAAAAGGGAGTCAAACAAATACTCGAGAATGATCCCAAATAGCCAGAATGACAGGCGGTGTTTGGACGAAGAGTGACTTGGACACCCGAAATGGGTACGGAAAGAATGGGTACAGTGCCCAACAACAGATGCTGTCCCAAACCAACAGCGACTGCTGTTGGGCAGGCGGCCTTCTGTCTCGAATGTACACAGGCCTCGGCGGCGTGGACAGCGAGTCCTGTTCAAAATGAACCGGATCCACTGTTGGGCATTGTACGCATTCTTTCCGTACCAATTTCGTTCGTGCAGAAATGGAAGGGAGTCAAACAAATACTTGAGAATGATCCCAAATAGCCAGAAGATCCCCCCCGGACTTTTTTGTGTGTGACAATTCTGGATCCTTCTCCCTGTAGAGGGACACGCCCGACTCAGGATGATGCCCCTGCGCCGATCCGGGCCAGGCTCATCCCGGGCCCAGGGTCGGTGTGCACGCCCTCGCGCGGCTTGGACGAGACGGCACATGTGATCCAGGGTCGACCCGCCCCTCCCCCTCCCCCCAATGCATATGGGATCGAGCCCGATCCCCCCCCCGCTGGATGGGTACGCCCGTGAGCAGAGTGGGACCCTCCCCGCCCCACCCCCATGCGGTCGTGGCGCTGCGGGCGTGGCGTGGTGGAGGGTGCCCTCGCCCTCCCCCTGTGGGTGTGGGGTGGTTCGTCGTCGTCGTCGTCGTCGTCGTCGGCGGCGGCGGCGGTGGTGTCGTCGTCGTCGTCGTCGTCGTCGTCGTCGTCGTCGTCGTCGTCGTCGTCGTCCAGCGTTGGCGTCGTCGTCGTCGTCCAGCGTTGGCGTCGGCGTCGGCGCAGGTGTCGTCGTCGTCCCCCACCCCATCCCATCTGGGGGGGGGCCTCGGCGGCGATAGGGGCGAATAGCCCAGGGGCGGGCATTACACGTATTCGCCCGGTAGCCTTTTCGAAAACATAGATCATCGGCGCACCTGAGTACATGTATTGCTCTCCCCTGGGCTACTCGCCCCTATCGTCGCCTCTGAGGGCCGTGCAACCCTGGGGCCCATCCCATCATGGGGGTGGGGGGCTTGTGAACCCTCGACTCGGGATCACATGCACCGATCCCGGGCCCAAGATCGGCCTCGCTGGGATCGGCGTAGGTGTACAATTGGTCCTCCCGATTCCCCTCCCCTCCTCTTGCGGACGTCCGAGGAGAAAATGACTCCCGTCAAAGGCCCGGCACGGGTGGGACGCCTCCGAAGAACACCGAGATAATGAACTTACTGGTGCCCGTTAGCTGCCCAAAATACAAAATCCTCACCTCTCTCATGCCATAGCTGTACGTCGGTCGCTATGGTTGTCAGCTTCCCAAGCCGCGCGGCTTGCAGAATCTTTGCAAGCAGCCTTCGGAATGGAATGCCCGAAGCTCCAATCTTGCAGATGTCCGAATGACATGTTTATCATGGGCGTGTTGTTCTGCCCTTAGCCCAGAAAGGATACCGCGGTTCGGCCAAAGCGCATGCCCCTCGGCCTGCAACGTTTGATCTGTGCGCAGCGCTTTCCATGGACCGGCTGATGCTGCCACCGCCGCGGAGGAGGAACAGGTCTCCAACGCACTCGGGCAGACTCCTGTCCCCCAGAGTAGAGGCGGAAGAATAACGACGGATGCAGGGGAGGTGAAGGAGGAAAGAGGAGCGAGGAGGGGGAAGGGAAAGATGAGCGGCCCCCAGACGGCTGCATTGGAGAACTGCCTCTCTACCGACCCCCGGGGCCCCCCCGACTCCTGGTGACGTTGAGCATCGGGTAAGGCAGGAGGGTGGCCAGCACCGCCAGGGCCGCGCCGACGGCGGTGGTGAGCAGCACGGCGGTGGCCGCAGAGTCCCACTCCAAGCCTGTGAGGGGGGGGGGCGGCCTGCCACGCACGCCACGAGCACGCAAAATGCGAATTAAGCCGCAGCGTGCGCGTGAGAAGGGGAGGGGAAGCCCGGCGCGGGCGAGGGGGAGAGGCTGGGCCACCCAGCAGGGGCAGACTGCCCCAGGCATCCCCAGCAATCTGGGCGCGAACGGGCGAGAGTCCTGCCACCCGCTGGCGGTTCCCTCGTGGGAGTGCCGAAATCAGCACCTCGCCCGAGACATCCTCGCAATCTGCTCTGAAAGCAAGGGATGTTGGGCACCCAACCGCTTGAAAGAACCCCGCGCTCGAAGCGCGAATAAACCCCTTAGGGATAGTCTGGCGGCTCCCCTCTGGGGGTTCTGCAGTCCGCAGCTGGCGCCTGGGAGTGCTGACGCCAGCGCCTCGCCTGAGACATCCTCACAATCTGCTGTGAAACCAGAGGATGTTGGGCACCCACGCAGGCACACCGCCCATGACATCTCCACAATCTGGGCGCGAACGGGCGTGTGTCCTACCCCTCCGGCGGCTCCCTCGTGGGAGTACTGAAACCAGCGCCTCGCCTGCGACATCTTCGCAATCTGCTCGCCAGCGAATCTGAGTATGAATGGGTCTGAATATTTCTGACTCTGACCGCGAATGAGTTTGAGAATGAGCGAATAGCAGTGTGACGGCTAAGTCTGAGAACGAGTGAGTCTGAGCGTGAGTGAGTTTGAGTGTGAGTGAATTTGAGAATGAATGAATATGGGCATGATGCGTGAGTCTGAATACGTGTGGGTCTGAGTGAGAGTGAGTAAGGATATGAGTGAGTCCGACTATGAGTGAGTGAGTCTAAGGGGTAGGAGGAGAGTGTGAGGTGTGAGGGGGAAGAGGTCTAGAGGCGTTCGAGTAACACTTACTCGGCGCGGGGATCCCCCTGCGTGTCTCTTCTAATCGCGTCACGATCTATCTACGAGCATCTGAGTGGAGTGTGGGAGCGGGCAGCGGGCCCGCGAAGACGGCAGGAGCGGTAATGACGACGACGAAAGCGACGATTCTGGCTACCCAACCCGAAGACCCGAATTTCGGGTTTGGGGGGGGGAGGGGGTACGGGCTTCATACGTGCTTTTTGAATGCTCCCCGACCCCCCCCCCACTGGAAATGGAGGGTAAATCGGGGCCTTCGGGTTGGGTTGGGTGGCTTGGTGGGCGGTGAGATTCCAGTGACGCCCTTCTCCTCCCCTGGACATCGCGCGAGGGCAACGCAGCCGGCTCCACCTTAGAGGGTGCCCACGGGCCACGCCTGCTCTATCTCGGCGAGCACGGCGCCCCCCCCCAAAAAAAACAAGACATAGATCGGGTGGCAGGAGCACGCAGACCGCCCGAGACGTCCCCACCATCTGGGCGCAACTCCCGGAGGGCCCACGCCCCTGGCGGCTCCCCCTTGAGGGTGCCCGCAAGCCACGCATCGTATATCGTGGCGAGCATCGCGGACCACAACAACTATACATATGGGGGACAGAAGCGGGCAGACCGCCTGAGACATCTCCACGGCAGTGTCCCGCACCCTGGAGTGCCCCCGCACCCCCTCGGGGTGCCCAAGTGCCACGCCTGCTATATGGCGGTGACCACTGGACCACCAACAGAACACAGTCTGGGGGGGAGCAGGCAGAGACAGGCAAACCGCCCGAGACATCCTCACAAACTGCTCCGACAGCTCCGACAGCCGAGGATGTCGGGCACGAGAGCAAGCACGCCGCCTGAGACATCCCTACAAGCGGAGCGCGAATCCTGGAGTGGCTTGGCCCCTGTCGCCCACCCTCGGGCGTGCTGAAACCAGCGCCTCGCACTGAGATATCCTCAGAAGCCGCTCCGAGAGTAAGAGGATGTTGGCATGCCAACAAGCAAACCACCTGAGACCCCCCCCCGATCTGGGCGCGAATCCTGGAATGTCCCTACCCCTGGCCCCCCCCCTTCCCTTTAGGAATGCCGAAGCCAGCGCCTCGCTTGCGACATCCTCAGGACCTGCTCCGAAAGCAGAGGATGTTGGGCACGCAAACAGGCAAACCACCCGAGCCTTCCCCACAACGTGGGCACGAATGCTGGAGCGTCCCACCCCTGAAGCCCCCTCCTTGGGGGCCCCGAGTGCCACGCCTGCTAAATCGCGGTGAACATTGAATCACCACTGAGTATGAGTGACCCTGAGTCCGAGTATGAGAGGAGTTGGTCTGAGTGTGAGTGAGTCCGAGAGTGAGTGAGTCGAAGTGTTAGTGAGTTTGAGTGTGAATGAGCCTGAGTGTACTGAGTCTGAGTATGAGTGAGTCTGAGTGTGAGTGATTCTAACTGTGAGTGGGTCTGTGTGAGTGAGTCAGAGTGTGAATGAGTCAAAGTGTGAGTGAGTCTGAATGTGAGTGAGTCTGAGAATGAGTGAGTATCAGCGACTCTGAGTGTGAGTGAGCCACTCTGGTTGAGGAAAAGGAGGAAGAGAAGGAGGTGAGGAAAAGGTTCTCGGAGCCGTCTGCTTAATAACAAGAGCCTCATCTTGGGAGATGGGGCGCGAACCCCAGCTTGGGATACGGGTTGGTGCTCCGCGCGGATTTGTTGTATCGGCGCTGGGCCCCCCCCTAGCGGCGTTCCGCGCGCCAGCGAGGGTGACCCTGCGCCGATCCAAGAACTCCGCGCAGAACTCCACCAATTTCTTTTGTTCGCGCCTCGCGCCGTGCGCGAAAGGCGCGCAATGCCGTGAACTGCGGGTCAGAGATAGGGTTGAGCAGGAACCGACCGTCCCGGCATTTCTATAGGCCTACCAGGAAATGTTCTTGGAACCCAGACATGCTCTAAGAACAAAATCAGCCCTTAGAACATAGCACTGGTGTATTAAACAAAATAGTCTCAGCCAGACATGTTCTAAGAACATTTCGCGCAGACCACAAAAGTTTCTTAGAACATTATTTGGTATGTATGCCTCCAGGCGAACTAGGACGCTTCGCCACTGCTTGATAGGGGGGCCAGCTCAGGAGGGGAAACATCGACGTGGAATCAGCGATACATCACCGATAGATCGGTGACTGGCCTCTGATAGGGAATCCGCACGGTCCTGGGCGTGGCGGTCCATCGAGCCCCGCTCGTTCGTTGATCAATGGGTGATGGGGGGTCGATGCTTGAGCAGGGACCGACCGACCCGGCATTCCTTCAGGCCTACCATGCAATCTGTTGGGAACCAACGGATGTTCAAATAGGGCAAACAAAACTCTTAGAATATAATTCCGGTGTCTTAAAACAAGACGGTCTCAGCCAGAAATATTCTAAGCATAACTCGTGGCACCACAACATGTTATTAGAACATTCTTTGGTAGGCCTGCAGGCAAGCCAGGACGTATCGCCACTGCTTGAAATACACCCCCCCTGAGCACGTCTCCCTCTACCTCCCCCTATCGTTGCCCCTGACCGCCCCCCTCCCCCCCACTGGTCACGTCGCGATTCGCGCCGGCGCCGTTTGGGCCTTCAAACCATCCCCATGCATTTCCAAAAACGGCGCCGACGTGAGTCTTGGCGCTCCCGGCCCCCTCCCTCTCTCCCTCCCTCCCCTCACCCCCTGGTATCGCCAGGGATAAACAGCGGTCTGCAACTCAGACTCACTCGGGGCTCCATCACAAGTCGATCGGGACACCGCCGCAAACCCTCGCGGACCGATCTTGTTCATAATTAAGATGTGCCGCAGACAGAGTCGAGGGCTCCAGTTGTGATCTGTTCGCAGCGTTGTGATGTTTTGATGTTGTGGGGGCTCAGGGCAGGTTGTCGTCGGCTTCAGCACTGGTAGTCGGCCGTCGCATCGGCACAGGTTCACCGGCATTATTCGCAGCTTGACCAGGAGACCACGACCAGAGACTATTGTCCATGACCAGAGACAACGAGCCACGATCAAAAACCACGAACCACGACTAGAAACCACGACCTACGACCAGATGCCACGACGAAACACCACGGGTCATGGATTCGGGATCCTGACATCCCCACATCGGCCTTCAACAGCTCATGTAGGACCTTTTTAACAAGCGGTGTAGTTTTTGTTTTTCTCTTTTTTTTAAAGCGGTGTAGGGAAATACAGATCGGGTGGAACACCGGCGCAAATCAATTGCTCAATAGTGAGATTACCAGATTCCCTCCTCCTCCTCCTCCTCTTCCTCCTCCTCCATCGTCCAAGGGGATGCACGTCAGTGTAGCGCCTGGGACGCCCGTGGGCAGGTCGCCGGCGCGCAAACCAGTGTGCGGGTCCATGTAGCTCATCTCCCCGGGGGGGGCGGGAGGGGGCTGGCAGGCGGCGGGGAGGGGGGAGGAAAACAACGACGATAACACGTCGGTCGGAAGAGGTGGGTAGAACCATTCCATGAAGCAGGAAGGCGTTGGAAGTAGATTGGGCTTCCGCCCGCCCCCTGAAGAGGGAAGAGGGAACACCGCTCGACTCTTGAAGTAGGGAGGCGCCTGAAAGAGATTGGGATCTCGGCATCCAAAACTATGCACTTTCAACGACCAGCGTGAATTTGCTCGAGCGATCCCCACCCAAGAACGCTGGATCCCAACCCTATAGGACCGGCGGACGCGGTATGCAGCCGTCTTTTGTCCAACTGGCACGTTCTGGCCCTGGCGGCCGCGGCACGCAGGATTTGCGAGGCGGGTCGGTAGCTCTTTTCTTAAAACCTACACATCAGCCCCGACCTGTCGGGTGGGGAACAGAACAACTCGCCACCAAGGCTGCCGTGCCATGGACAAAAACTCGAACACACACCGGCTAGCCCGTCGCTAGACTGCACGGCCCCTGTGCCTGAGGTCATGCGGGCACCTGGCCATCGCTCGGACGTCCATTCCCTGTGCTTTTGTCGGTTTCGTGCGTGGTTTTTGTCGCCAAATGATCAAGGATGCTCCTCGATGGCCCTCGCCGAAGGAAAGGTACACACGCCCGAGCGATGCTGAGGCACGGTGCATCCTGCAGGCGCCGTGGGCGCAGCGCGGGCGAAGGCGTGCAGTCCTGGGCGGCGCTGGAGCTACGGAGCTGCCCACATGACTCGCACATGGGGCCCGCCAGCGTCGGGATCGATCGAACGCGGGGAGGCGCGCTGGGGAGGAGCGGCGAAGGGGGCCACCCCCTCCTCCTCCTCCTCCTCCTCCTCCTCCTCCTCCTCCTCCTCCTCCTCCTCCTCCTCCTCCTCCCCGTCGCCGAAGAGGAGGGGTCGGGGGATGAGGATGGGGACGGGATGAAGAGGCGGACGGGAGAGGGGCAGGATGGGAGGGGAAGGCTGGCATGCGGACGAGGAAGTGAGAACGGAGGGGGGGGGGCTGTTTGAGGGGAAGGAGCGGGAAGGAAGCAGCATGGGGAGGGGATGGGGGGGGCGGAGGCAGATGGGGGAAGGATAGACATGAAGAGGAAGGGTGGGGAGGCGTGGTGGAGGCAGAAGGAGGAGGAGAAGAAGCAAGAGGGGGGAAGCCTGGATCTCACTCCCATGGGTGAACGCGGCCCCTCGTGAAGCTCCCGCAGAACGGGATCGTCTCCGAGAGGCCGTAAAACGTTACCGCCACTCGTCTGAGTTATGCGTGTGTGTTGCAATGTTAATGATAATTGCTTATGTAACGTATGTGGTATCGTTGTCCGGTTATGCCTGGTACGCTGTTCACGTCCACCATTCCCGCATCGATGCCATGTGTGTGTGTGTCTGGTGTTCGTTCTAAATGCCTGTCAGAAGTGTTTGTAAGTCAGTATGTGGTTAATACATATATCGTGCGTTCTCCTGGTTGACAATGGAATCTGTCATTGATGTATGTCCGTAGTATCTGCCCTGGTTGCATGGTATTAATGTGCGATGTGTGTACATGCTATTGACACTTGTTATTGGTGTATGCCCTAGCTGCGCGCCGATGATGCATGTTCTTGATGATTGCCCTTGGCGGCTGTGTTTGATGCATGGTCATTGGTGCGATGTAGCCGTGTATGATGTTGGGAAATGGCGATGACGTATGTTCATGGTGTATGGCATTGCTGCCTGCTGCTTGATGGTATGCTGTTAGCGCATAGTAGGCTGGCGCCCATCCTTTTGTTCTCCCCAGGACTTCTCTTGCTGTGTAACGTTCTAACTTGCAATCGGGGACCGCGCGCTCCACGCATCGAATCACGTCAATGCAACCGTAGAGCAAGAGATCTGATCAGCGACGCTGCCAAGAACCAGCGTCGTCACCTGAGGACGGCGCCGACGGCAGGCGATCGCCTGGTCTACTGCCTGATTCTGGCCTGAGCGAGGCCCCTCACACGACTGATCTCTCTCTCTCTCTCTCTCCCTCTTCTCTCCCTCTCACACGCACTCTCTTTTGGCTCACCGCCACTGGCGCTCGCTGAGAGTAAGCACCTGTCGTTGACACCTGCTTTCTGCCACTCCCGCGCCATGAAGAATACGTGCCATGTCAGCCCGAACTTGATGGTGTTGGTTTCACACTTGGAGATGAGCATCAAGAAAATCAAGCTCAGACAATCGACCCTGCCCGCCCGTCTTCAAATCCGATCGCTGACGATATCATCATGGAAGCCTGTCAAAACCATTGTGCCGATCTGGCAACAACACATCATGCTTGCACCCTCGCAACACTCATGAACACTCATGGGTGAATTTGCACACTGGCGGTCAAATGCGATCAAGTAGATGCACGCCTAAACAATCCTGCTACTCTCTTTCCTCCTCCTCCGTGTTCCAACCCCTCATTCCGCCCTCTGGTACTTTCATCCCATACAACTTGCCCGCCGTCCTCTTCGTCATGTTCGGATGTTTGTGCGCACCCTTTCTGAACAAGACGTTCCCACACAACTGCTTAATCCTCTCCTTATCGCCCGCCGATCGACGATTCGCCTCTCCTCCCGATGGGTGCTGACAGGGAGGGGGGCGGTTGAGACGGAAAAGATGAAACTGTGAGCTTCTCGTCATTTGTTTATTTGTGTAGTCATTGTTTCATCGTTTTCTGGGCCACCCATCTGAGCGGTGGCACAGCAAGATGGATGCCTCAGACATAAAACACGAAAACCACAGCACTGTTATCACAACACAAAGCAGCACAGACATTAACTTTCGGAGCTCCGCTCGGATTTCTTGGATCGGCGCTGAACCCCCCTCCCTAGCCTTAGGTCGGGCGTGTTCCCCTACAGGAGGATTTTTTGAACGAGAAACTTAAAACATACCCCCAAAATGCTCAAACATATTCAAACAACGTCAAACATCGTCCCCCAACTATGTTTGAACTATTTTGGGATTCTCCTCCTGCAGAAGGACTGGCCCGACTTCACCTCGCGGGCGGAGCGCGCCAGAGGCGACGCCGGAGGCGCCTCTCAACCCGACCCTCGGAGGGCGTTGGCAGAACTGGGCTTAATGGAACCTGGTTTAGTGATTTGTACCGGGGGCGCCCCCTCCCCGTCCCATTTCCACTAACCGGAACTGCCGTCGCCCGAAAAACACCAGTTGCCGCAAGCCTGGTTGAGTGAATCTGGCCAACTGAGGGGCCCCAGGGCCCTGCCACTGACCGGGTCCCCTTGCCCGGGGTCCTGGCTACACCCTGCGAAATGCTAAAGAAATCATGGGTTAAGAAACTCAGAGTCTCAGAATTTGTATAAAAACCCAGAACTTCTATTGAAATCTTAGGAGTTACATTGAAACATTAAGAATAATCGAGACTCTGGCCGAAAACTTCAGCTTCCTTACGCATCGCCCAGGGTGTATACCCGACCCTCGGAGGGCCCCCCGGTGGCCTCGCACGAGGGCCGGCGGACGAGCCCCCGGGAGGGCGAGCTGCCCGAGCCACGGTCGGCGGCCACGCGCGAGCCCTGCCGCCCCGCCCCCCGCGATCTCTCAGGGGAGCAGGAGGGGGAGGAGGAGGAGGAGGAGGAGGAGGAGGGGGAGGAGGAGGAGGAGGAGGAGGAGGAGGGGGAGGAGGAGGATGAGGAGGATGATGATGATGAGGAGGAGGAGGAGGAGGAGGAGGAGGAGGAGGGGGAGGGAGGAGGAGGAGGAGGAGGGGGAGGAGGCGGAGGCGCCCGCGAGGGGTGTCCAACGCCAGCCCCAGACATCCGCGGGGAACTCCAGAATATCATGTTCATGCCGTCTTCCTTTCTGAGTGGCAACTAGCAATGATTTTTCCAGACGCAATCGAAGGATTGATGGCCTGCCACTGCTACCCGAATGCGAGCTATCTACCAGATTTACCGTATCCCCCGTTGACTGTAGCATGACACGGCCTCTGTGCCGATCGGGAGTAGCGTAGCGTAGCGTAGCCGTCTTCTTTCTGCGAAGAACAGAATGTGCTCGCGTGGTTCGCTGCTGCTGCCGCCGGTCAACCTCTCTGCCGCCAGCGCTCCCCCCGTCCATGCGACGAGCGGGATGTAGCCCGCGTCCTTGGCTCCTGCAGCGGGGGCACGGTGCAGGATGGAGCAGGGCTGGACCTAAACGTTGTTTTTCGTTCTGGTTTCGTCTTACGTTTCGCTTTGCTCTATCTGTTTTCCCTTGCCTCGGGAACATTCGGCGGCGCGTTTCGCACCGGGGGGTGGGCCCACCTCCCCCAACCCCCCCCCTGGCGCACGCGCCGGCGCTGGCGGCGGCCAGCAGCGCCGACGGCAGACGTAGCGACGATGACCAAGGAGGGCCCAGGGGGAGGGGGGGTTCTAACCCCCCCACTCGGCGCTGGCGCCGGCGCTTGCGCTGGCAGCGGCCAGCAGCGCCGACGGCGGGAACGCAGCGACGATGACCAGAGAGGGCCCAGAGGCCGCAGAGGGGAAACAAAAATCGCCATATGCACTACCACAACAACCTCAACCACCACCACCACCACCAACCACCACACAACCACCAACACCGCCACAACCACCACTACCACAGCCCACCACCACCACCACCGCCACCACCTGACCCGAAGACAAAACACGGTGGCGGGAAGACCCAAAGGCCTCACCACCACCACCACAACCACCACACCTCCACCACCACCGCCACCGTTACCGCCACAACCAGCACAACCAGCACAACCCACCACCACCACAACCACCACCATCACCACAAACCACTACACCACCACCACCACCACCACTACCACCACCACCACCACCACCACCACCACCACCACCACCACCACAACCACCACCACCACCACCACCAAAAACGCCACCACCACAACTTCCACAACCCACCACAACCCACCACAACCACCACGACCACCACCACCACCACAAACCACCACACCACTACCACCACCATCACCACCACCAACGCCACCACCACCACCACAACCCACCACCACCACCACAAACCACCACAAACCACCACACCACCACCACCAGCACCACCACCAGCAGCACCACCACTTCCAACATCACAGCCCACCACCACCACCACCACAAACCACCACGCCTCCACCACCACCACCGCCACTACCACTACCACCACCAGCGCCACCACCACAACTCACCACCACCAGCACCACCACAAACCACCACGCAACCACCACCACCACAACCCATCACCACCACTACAACAACCAACCACCACCACCACCACTACACCCACAACAACCCACCACCACCACCACCATTTACCATACCACCATCACCACCGCCACAACCACCACATCACCACCAGAACAACCTACCACCAGCACCACCACCACAAACCACCACACCACCACCACACCACCACCAGCATCGTCACCACCACCACCAGCACCACCTCCACAACCCACCACCACCACCACCACCGCCACCACCACCACCACCACCACCCACCACCCACCACACCATCACAGCCCACCACCACCACCACCGCAGAGAGAGGCCCCAAGAGAAGTCCAAGAGGCGCCCAGGAGGCTTCACAAATGCCTTGCAGAAGCCCCCGAGAGCCCTCCGACGAGACCCCAAGAGGCATACATTAGGCCTCTGACCTAAAATCAAGGCACGGTAGCGGAGCGTCGTCGTCGTCGTCGTCGTCGTCGTCCTCGTTGTCGCCGTCGTCCTCGTCGACGCTCCCCGCCGCCGCCGCCAGCCGCCGCAAGCGCCGGCGCCTGCCAAGAGAAAGAAGTCGTCGTCTACATCGACGCTCCCCCGCCGCCGCCGCCAGCCGCCGCCGACGCCAGCACCGGCCCGAGGAGAGGGAGAGAGGAGAAGTAGGGGTGGGGGGGTTCGAACACCCCCCCCCCCTCCGTCACGGGAGAGGTTGGGGGGGGGGTCGAACCCCCCCCCCCTTCAATCCAGGGTGGGTGGGGGTCGGGTTCCACCGCCCCCCCCTGCAAGCGCCCGCCCACGGAACGCGCCCTTTCATATATCAGTATGCAAAGAGATCAACCATATATATATATACATATGTATTACGTGTACGTGTTAACAAGCGTGGACCCCAATCACTAATTACGTGCAACACATGCGGTGCAATCTCGGTGGTGCAAACAACGTGGTGCAATCTGGGTGGTGCAGCCCACGTGGTGCAACTCATGTGGCGCAAAGAAACGCAAAACAAAGCAATGAGAAGCCATGCAACGCCATGCACAGCAATGCTGAACAATGCGAAGCAATTCAAGCGGATGCAGACCAGTGCAAGACAATGCAATGCAAAGCACCCCAATGCAATGCAATGCAATACAGAGCGATGCAAAGCAGTACAAAGCAATGCGAAAAAAATGCAAACAACTTGCGATGCGAACGAGCTGGGGCGTGTAGCAAGGTACAGAGGGGGGGCGGCGCACCGGGGACAGAAACAGGACCGCCGGGCCAACAGACGGGCCCAGTTCCTTAACATGGAAGTAAGAAACCCTAAGCGCTAGCACTGTTGGGGCAATCTGAAGTTTTGTGTATATACAAAATGTATGTATGTATGTATATATATATGCGCATCTCTCGGTGCATCGTGAAAGAGATAAAGGATGGACACAACACAAGAAACACACACACACATAATCTCTGGGTGCATGGCCGTCATTAAAAGGAAACGCAATGACGGCGAACGAAGGCATGTCGCGGAGCTGGCAGAGAAAGGGATTCCTGGCACCTCCTGGATGTAAGCGCGAACGTACTGACAGCCGCATCGACGACCAATGTCGACCATTCAGGTCAGAGCCCTTTGCAACTTCGTGCCACCCAATGGTAACGATCGGAAAGAGCGCTTGGAAATGCGAAACAGGGACTCTAACTCGTGCCGAAAACGAGACGCCCGCGAACGATCAACGTTTGAGTTCAGAAACTGTTTCCTTGCACGTATCCACAGCGCATGGGCAGGATGAACAACAATGAGTGATTCATCCAACTCCTTGTGGCCAAATGCGCGTCATCACGGTGATGTTAATGATCGCCAGAACCGTACCTCGGAACATAGCGCATGCATCCACCATCATGAGGGCAGCAGAAACCGCTTCATCTGCTGCAGACTGACAACCTGGTCTCCCGTCAGCTTGCCCCTTGCCTCTTCGGGGTCCAACAACTCCCCCAACGGGGGGAGGGATGCGACAGGAGATATCGTCTCACTCTGTGTGCAGGCTCTCTCGAACAAAGTGGATTCACAGACTCGAAACTTGGCGAAAACACTTGCTGCCGTTTGTTCTGGTGACTCCGAAAGGTGTGGTTTGCGAAGGGTGTGGTTTGCAACCCGCGCTTGGGGGGAGGGCAAGGACCCAAACCAGGGCTCATCAAACCTTGTGGCGCAACACCCTACAGGGCCCCAGCGGCGCCGATCACAAAGCACACCCTGCCGTAACCACATCCGTTGCAGTCGCCGTTTCCTCGACTCAAGCGTCGCTCGGAAGAAGTAAGTCAAACATGAAGTATGAAGTAGAACGGCGTTGGAAGTAGATTGGGCTTCCGCCCGCCCCTTGAAGAATAGGGAAGAAGTAAAACCGCTCGACACATGAAGTAGGAAGGCGCCTCAAGTATGTTGGGATCTGGAAATCTCAAAATACATACTTTCAACGACCGATGCGTACGTGCAACCGATCTGGGTCCTCGTCACCCTCCCACCGCGCGCCCTGCCCTCCCTCCGGAGGGACGCAGAAATGGGGTTTGTCATCAGAGGTGGGGCTGGGAGGGACACCGCTCCAATTAGCCACTGGAAGAAGGACGTGTGAACGTTTTCTTCTCCGGCGCTTCGACATTCGGCGGAAGAGGGGGCGGGGAGGGGGGGTGTCTGGCTCTGGACCTCTGCTATATTTGACTGTTTGCAACAGTGCCTCCTGTGGGGGAGACCCCACCTGCTTGAAACAGGCGCCAACAACAGCCAAGATCTACTCTGGGGGGAGGGGGGGGGGGAAGGGGGTACGGGGGCCCGCGCCGATGGGCAAACGAATGAAGAAGAAAACGACCACAACTTGCCAGCTGGCCCTGTTTCCCTAGCCATACCTTGGACCCCCCCTCTACGTACGAAGCCACGGCCCCTGCCCCCCCTCGGGAGCGGCCAAGAGGGGGGGGGTCCAAGAGGGGGGGGGTACAAATCATGACCGGCGGCACGTGCGCGGCCCAACGGGGGGGCCAGGGATGTAATGAAATAGGAAGAGGCGCCATGAGATCTGGGGAAATACCATGGCCCCCGCCATGATATCCCCCCCCCCCTAGTCATCACCCCCCTCTTTTCCGCCCCTGCCCCCCCGGTCGAGGCGGACGAAGCGGCCGGGGAGGAGGCATGCCGGCGGGGCCCGGGGCCCCGGCCGACGAGGCCCTGCCAAGCGAGCATCACGGTCTGGCCGGAGTTCTGGTACACTGGGCGGCGGCGAGGCCGCCCGCGGAGGGGGAGGAGGACGGGGGGCAGCATGGGGGAGAGGAGAGGAAGGGGGGAGAGTGGAGCAAGGATGAGGAGGTGGAGGCCGTCTTCCTCCTCCTCCTCCTCCTCCTGTTGTTGTTTCCCCTCCTCGAGAAGGGGGGGGCGGACGGAGGAGGAAAGGAGGCAGAGGGGGAGAGAGGAAAGCTGATGGGGGGGAGGATTGAGCAAGGATGAGGACGTGGAGGCCGTCCCCCTCCTCCTCCTCCTCCTCCTCCTCCTCCTCCTCCTCCTCCTCCTCTTCCTCCTTTTCCTCCTTTTCCTTTCTCCTGTTGTTGTTTCCCCTCCTCTAACGGGGAGGGCGGACTGGGGAGGAAAGGAGGCATAGGGGGGAGAGGAGAGCAGGGGGTGGGTGGATAAACAATGAGCAAGTGGAGGCCGTCCTCGTCCTCCTTCTTCTCCTCCTCCTCCTTCTTCTTCTCCTTCCTCCTGTTGTTGTTGATGTTGCTGTTGAGTGCTAATTCCTGGACAATTATTATTGTTGGACCCCTTATAGGCGCCCTGGCGTTCTCGCCGAGGCGCCGGCTGCATTTTCATTGAAAATGAAGCTCGCTCTCATGCGTTTTGGGGGACCGCCAAAACCGGCCCACAAACAACAACAACGCTCCCGTTCGAGACTTATTCCTTTTTGTACTCAGGGCCGGGTGCTCTTGTTCGCCGCCGAAAGCAACAGTCTCAGCAAAACCAACGCTCCCGCTCGAGACGTCCTCCCGTTTTACCTTGGACAGGCGCGCTACTCTTTCTCTCATCGGCGCCGCCCCCCAGCAACAACAACGCCCTCCCTCGAGATTCCCCTCTCTTTTACTCAAGCCGGTGCTCTTGCTCGCCGCCGACGGCCCCCGCCCCGACAAAACCAGCGCTCCCGCCCGAGACTTCCTCCCGTTTTACGCTGGATTGGCGCCCTTTTCTCCTCCTCCTCCTCCTCCTCCTTCTCCTCCTCCTCCTCGTCCTCCTCCTCGTCCTCCTCCTCCTCCTCCTCCTCCTCCTCCCTCCTCCTCCTTTTCCTCGTCCTTTCCCTCCTCCTTCTCCTCCTCGTCCTCCTCCTCGTCCTCCTCCTCCTTCTCCTCCTCCTCCTCCTCGCTCCTCCTCCTTTTCCTCGTCCTTTCCCTCCTCCTTTTCCTCTTTCTTCTCCTTTACCTCCTCCTCCTCCTCCTCCTCCTCCCTCCTCCCCCCTCCCCATCCCATCCTCTTCCTCCCTCTCCCTTCCTCCACCCCCTCCTCTTCTCCCGCCTCCCGCCATGGGAGCGCCCTGGCTGGCCAAGCTCATCAGCGGCGGCATGTTGCTCACCTTCCTGAAGTCCCACGGCCCCCCGACCCGGAACACCCTGGTGGAGGCCGACCTGGGCGAGATCAACATCCAGCTGAAGGAGCAGGCCAAGGCCAAGGGCGTTCAGGCCATCTTCCCGATGCAGGGCAACTTCGAGGACAAGCAGAAGGAGTTCGAGAGCATCGTCAAACCGATCCTGGTGAAGGATGGCGCCAATCAGATCGACAAGGTGGTGCAGACCAGCTCCGAGGACATGCAGAAGAAGCTCGAGAGCATCGCCAACACGATCGTGATGAAGGCCGATGGCCAGGAACTGCTCCTGGTGAAGGGTGGTGGCAGCCAGATCGACAAGGCGGTGCAGACCAGCTCCGAGGACAAGCAGATGGAATTCGAGAGCATCGTCAAACCGATCGTGACGAAGGACGGGGGCAAGGAGACCGAGACGGCGGTGCAGGCCAGCTCCGAGGACCAGCAGAAGGAGTTCGAGAGCATCGCCAACCCGATCATGATGAAGATCGAGACGGCGATGCAGGCCATCTCCGTGGACAAGCAGATGGAGTTCGAGGGCATCGTCAAACCAATCGTGACGAAGGACGGGGGCAAGGAGATCGAGACGGCGGTGCAGGCCAGCTCCGAGGACCAGCAGAAGGAGCTCGAGAGCATCGTCAACCCGATCATGATGAAGATCGAGACGGCGATGCGGGTCAGCTCCGTGGACAAGCAGAAGGAGCTTGAGAGCATCGTCAACCCGACCCTGATGAAGGTAGGCGTGCAGTCCCACGTGCGCCCTCTTGTCCAAGAAACGAGGAAGCATAAAGAGGGTCCCCTGGAGGGTCGGCGGATCCTGAGCTCCCTTGTGCTCGCGCTCGAGATGTGAGAAACGATGGGGCATAAAGGGCCCCCTGGAGGGTCGGCGGATCCTCGTTTGCTGAATTGTGTGATCGTTTACGGTAGGGGTCTGCGTCCCTGCCGTAATCAGGCCAAAGGGCCCCGAGCAGGCCACCCAACGGGTGCCCGTCTATAGCGGGCCCAACGCGGCACCGTCGGGGGACGGGGCAACCCCAAGTTTCTGTGGGTTTGTGCCATGGTGCGATGGCCCCAGTTCCCCAGACTATGTGGGCTGGGTGCACCTGGAGGCCATTACGGCCGAGGCTGTCGCAGAAGTGCTCGTGCCGCACCTAACGGTCGTCGACCTATGTGGAAGATCTGGAAGATCCCTTCCCCTTCTCCTCCCTCTCCTCCTCCTCCTCCTCATCCTCCTCCTCCTCCTCTTCCTCCTCCTCCCCCTCCTCTTCCTCCTCGTCCTCCTCCCCCCCTTTTCCTCCTCTACTTCCTCCTCCTCCTTCTCCTCCTCCTCCTCTTCCCCTCCTCCTCCCTACCTCTTCCTCCTCCTCCTCCCCCTCCTCCTCCTCCTCCTCGTCCTCCCTCCTCATTTCCCTCTTCTTCCTCGCCTTCCCCTCCTCCTCCTCCTTCTCCTCCTCCTCCTCCTCCTCCTCCTCCTCCTCCCCCCCTCCCTTTTCCTCCTCTACTTCCTCCTCCTCCTTCTCCTCCTCCTCCTCCCCCCCCTCCTCCTCCTCCTTCCTCCTCCCCCCCTCCTCCCCCTCCTCCTCCTCCTCCTCCTCCTCCTCCTCCTCCTCCTCCTCCTCCTCTTCCTCCTCTTCCTCCTCCGTACAATAACTCAATATGGATTCTACTCTCCCTCTTCCCCTGATGACGTTTTGGATATATTCGCCCCCGCCCCGCGTACTGTTTTTTACACACAGGTTTCCCCGGACTTGGGTTTTCGCCTGCATTTTTTTCCACAATGCTGCTCTCGCTGAGGCGCTGGCATCATTTTCGGGCCCCGCTCGTTCCGAATCGTGCTCCCGCTGCGGCGCTGGCATCCCCTGACCTTCCAGGAGGGCTAAAAAAATAACACCCGACCTAAAAACGCATCCCAGAGCTATTCTACGTCTTGGTTTTAAGCTGTTTCGCTCAGCTTATTAGGTTTTTCGGTCTCCCGTGCTGAAAAATAGCTCTCTGGAAGGTCAGGGTCATTTCCGCCGGCGCTCGGGCTGAACGCCCGAGCCGGCGCCCGGGCAGGCGCTCGAGCCGGGTCCGGAGCCGCGGTTCCCGGCCGGCGCCGGAAAATCGAGTTCCGAAGCGGCGCCGAAAAAAAACCATTCTAATACACATTTTTTTGAAAATGCCGAATTTCCGCTTCCGGCGCCCGAGAGCCCTCCCGGGCCGATTCCGACGCCCATGCGCACGCCGGCGCCCGAACCGGCGCCCGGGCTGGACGCCCGAGCCGGCGCCCGGGCCGGCGCCCGGGCCGGGTCCGGAGCCCGTTCCGGCCGGCGCCGGAAAATCGAGATGCGGCGCCGAAAAAGGCCATTCCAATGCACATTTTTCTTTTGAAAATGCTGAATTTCTGCTTCTGGTGCCCGGGAAGCCTTCCCCGGAGTTAGGTTTTCGCTTGCATTTTTTCCCCAAATCCTGCTTTCGCTGAGGCGCCGGCCTCATTTTCGGGCCCCGCTCATTCCCAATCGTGCTCTCGCTGCAGCGCTGGCCTCATTTCCGTGCTTCCGCTCGTTCCGAATCGTGTTCCCGCTGCAGCGCTGGCCTCATTTCCGTGCTTCCGCTCGTTTCGACTCGTGCTCCCGCTGTAGCGCTGGCGTCATTTCCCGTGCCATGCCACGGCGTGCAATGCAACGCTAGGTTGATACCACGCTTCGCGGTGCTCTTCTACGCCATGCCACGCCGTGCTCTACAATGCATCGCGCACCCTTTCGGGATCACCGCCCTGCTTGACATCCGACTGTGCGAGTAGAGAGGGGATCTGCGCCATGGTAAGGGATGGGAGGGAGGGGTTGGATGTCAGATATGACGCGAGCGCATCTAGCTTGTCCCCCTCCCCCCCCCCTCCGCCCCTCTCACTTCCTTCCTCCGCCCCCTCCTCTTCGCCCATCCTCCTCCTCCCTCTCCCACCCCCCTTTCCTCCTCTCTCCTCCGCCCTCCTCCTTTCCCTTCTCGTCCCCCTAGTCTCCCCCCCTCCCCCGCCCCCCCCCCCCTCCTCCCTCCCTCCCCCTCCCGTCCTCCCGCGCCGCCGCCGTTTGATATTTCCCCATATCTTACTCAAGACTGGGGCCCTCGTTTCGGCGTCGCCTCTGGGGGGCTTCCAAGAATCCCTGTTGAACCTTATTAGATATACATACCATTTTTGGAAAGCATAGATACTGTGGAGGATGGGGGGGGGGGGGGGTGAAGGGCGGAAGACATCCAAGGGCCCTGGGGATCGCGGGTCGAAAGATTGACTTCGCGAGCTCCTTGAAAGGGCGTGGATGGGGCAGGTGGGCGACGCGATCATGGGAGCGGCAGCGCCCGGGGGCGTGAACGCTCAGGGTCACGCTGAGGCCGCAGGATGGTGGCGTAACAGTCCGAACGAGGAGTGAGAACCGCCTCGTCCTTGGATGTACTGCCACTACAGCTCCTCCTCCTTCCTCCCCCTCCTCCTCGTCCTCCTCCTCCTCCTCCTCCTCCTCCTCCTCCATCGTCCTCCTCATCTCCCTCTTCCTCTCCCTCATCTTCCCTTCCCTCCTCGTCCTCTTCCTCCTCCACCGAGATGCCGGGCGCGCGCCAGGCGATTGCGATGGCGATGTGCCGTCCGAGCTGCGGGTGCCGAAGTTCCTCGAAGAG